AGCTCCATCAATACTGCACTGCTTTTCCTTTCAGCAAGGTAGCCTCTGGTGTGAAAGGCATTACAGAGATGACAATAATATGAACCTGAAGGTAGATATTTGTAGAGTTCAAAGGAGGCTACTGTTGTGCCTCACTGAATTTTTTGCAACAGGATACTTTCTTGATGATGTTTCATGCTGCCACTACTAACCAAGCAGTTTCGTACCACCGCAGTTCAGCAATATGCAAACTGCTTTCAGGCAGTAGCCAGTATATATTTTCATTAAAAGGACAGAGGAGGAGCCAGGCCCAAAAGATGAACTGGAATAAAATATGTTTTTGTTATTTGATTGCCTTGGTTTGCCCTGGAACTTTCAGATAGTTTAAAAAAAATAATAAATCCAGAGGGGTAGCCTGCCACCAGTGTTCCCTCTAAGCTGAGTTAGTGTGAGCTAGCTCACAGTTTTTTAGCCTCCGGCTCACACATTTTTGCCTTAGCTCAGGAAAGATGGCTCCAGAGCAAACTAATTTGTGCAGTAGCCAGTAACTCACAAAGTAGAATTTTTGCTCACAAGACTCCACAGCTTAGAGGGAACATTGGTAACCAGATCGGTCTGTGGCAGCAAAGTTTGACAGAATTCCAGTCCTCAAAAACTAACAACAATTATTCCTGCATATGTTTTTGTGAGCCGAGGGGTGGGGGATGCAGCAAGACACAACCTTGTCCAATGTTCTTTGATAAAGTAAACTCTAGCTCATGAACGCCGATGTTGGAATAAATTTTGTTAGGTGCCAATAGACTTCTGTTTTATTCTACTACAGTAGTCTAACACGTATTCCAAAAATGAGCTTTTGTGAGTCAGAGTTCACTTCTTCAGATGCTATGAAGAGTCACTTACACTGGTCTAGTCTCTTACACAAAGAATCACACCTGAAATACTTTTGATGGGATTCACACCAAGCCTTTTTCTGTAATAATAGGGATGCTTAATTATCTTAAAGATGTTTAATTATGTTTAATCAGGTTGGAATACTATAGTTAAATGGCAATTGATTATAATAATAGTCTAATGTGATTTTGAGTGATAATTTGAATCCAAAAATTAAGAGCAATGAAATGATAGATTAGTGGAGCAATTGTTAATATAATAGGAGAGGTTAGAATTGGGATGAATAATTGGTTGAGTGTTTGGTTGGTGTATTGTGTTATGATGGTGTAATTAAGTTCTAATTAAATTTGATAAAACTTTAAATTTTTTTAAAAATAATATTAAACCCTGTACCTATACTAAGAGCAAAGAATGGACAGGCTACTGGAAGATGACTATAAACAGTGTATATGAATATCATATATTACTAATATGAGCTGACAGCCAAATCTTGAGAATGTAGTATTTAAATTTCAAAGGAAATTGAGATGGAAGTAGTTACTCAACACAGAACTGAACTAAAAGTGGAACAGAACAAAATAATTACTTCTTGTCTAGGTTTTCTATTAATCTGTGTTGTTGAAATGGAAAATTGTTATCTTAGGGGTTTTTTTGTATGTAGTATTGTTGATGTTCTTGTTGGTGTGTATATGATACAGGCTTATATGTCTAAAAACCCAATAAATCTACTATATACATAAAAAAAGAGAGGACTGACGTCACTTCTGATGTGACGTCAAGGAGGCACTTTAGGTGCCAGGCCGAAACATTTCTTTTCATTCAGGCTTTTAACTAAGGTTTTTAAAAATCTTCTTAGATGTCTTATGGTCTGCTTCTGTTCTGAGGTCTGTTTCAAGAGGGATTTTATGCTGTTTTAACAGCTTGTTTTGTTGATTTTATGCTGGTTTTATGGTATGGTTTTTACTTACAAGCCACCTCAAGCAGGACCCTGGAGAAGCGGCATGAACATTTCTTAAATAAATTATAAATAAAGCTCATGCCCTGATTCCCAGAGTAGTTTTACACTGGAGAGCTACTGCCAGTCAGAGTGAACAATACTGACCTTGATAGACCAGGGATCACACTCACTATATTGCAGCTTTGTGTGTGTTCCTGTGCTTGGCCCATTAAGAGGACATCTGCAGTGAGCAATCTTTTTATGTATCTGACTTCACTCCAAGATAGCTCCATCAATACTGCACTGCTTTTCCTTTCAGCAAGGTAGCCTCTGGTGTGAAAGGCATTACAGAGATGACAATAATATGAACCTGAAGGTAGATATTTGTAGAGTTCAAAGGAGGCTACTGTTGTGCCTCACTGAATTTTTTGCAGCAGGATACTTTCTTGATGACGTTTCATGCTGCCACTACTAACCAAGCAGTTTCGTACCACCGCAGTTCAGCAATATGCAAACTGCTTTCAGGCAGTAGCCAGTACATATTTTCATTAAAAGGACACAGGAGGAGCCAGGCCCAAAAGATGAACTGGAATAAAATATGTTTTTGTTATTTGATTGCCTTGGTTTGCCCTGGAACTTTCAGATAGTTTAAAAAAAATAATAAATCCAGAGGGGTAGCCTGCCACCAGTGTTCCCTCTAAGCTGAGTTAGTGTGAGCTAGCTCACAGTTTTTTAGCCTCCGGCTCACACATTTTTGCCTTAGCTCAGGAAAGATGGCTCCAGAGCAAACTAATTTGTGCAGTAGCCAGTAACTCACAAAGTAGAATTTTTGCTCACAAGACTCCACAGCTTAGAGGGAACATTGGTAGCCACATCGGTCTGTGGCAGCAAAGTTTGACAGAATTCCAGTCCTCAAAAACTAACAACAATTATTCCTGCATATGTTTTTGTGAGCCGAGGGGTGGGGGATGCAGCAAGACACAACCTTGTCCAATGTTCTTTGATAAAGTAAACTCTAGCTCATGAACGCCTATGTTGGAATAAATTTTGTTAGGTGCCAATAGACTTCTGTTTTATTCTACTACAGTAGTCTAACACGTATTCCAAAAATGAGCTTTTGTGAGTCAGAGTTCACTTCTTCAGATGCTATGAAGAGTCACTTACACTGGTCTAGTGTCTTACACAAAGAATCACACCTGAAATACTTTTGATGGGATTCACACCAAGCCTTTTTCTGACCCCAGCTCCTCCCTATTCCCATTCTGTAATTTTCCTTATAAAATGTGGATTTTTTTCCTCTTCATAGCAACTGAAGAAGTGAGCTCTAATGCATTAAAGCTTATACTGTAATGAATTTGTTAGTGTTTAAGGTGCCCTGGGACTCCTGCCTTGAAAGAAATATTTCCTGAATTCCGCCTGTGGTTTCTATAACTTGGTAGGCAATATGGACACTTGCTTGAAAAGAAGCTGACCCCTAAATGAAATTTAAAAAGGGTGGAAATGGATAGGAGAGTTTCTCAAAATAAATAAATAAATCAGCGGGAATGCTATTGTCAGGGAAGAGCAAACAGCTATCTACACAGTGTCCCACTTTTGGAGGCATTCAATCAATAAGCCGAAAATGGCTCTGTGTCACATTTATTGGTGGGTTTCAAAGCCCTGGCCTTCTACCTGCTGGCTTGTACAGATCACTGGCTTGGCCTGCGTGTGGCTGAGATTTTTCCTTTCCCAACCTCACAAATGCTTCATTGTTTAATATGGGCCTTGTGAGGGGGGGGGG